CGGAAACAGTCAAAATGTCAGCTTTGCACAAGCGGGAAGGAATGTCTGGAAAACATCAAGCACCCTTCAACAAATCCTGAAAGGAGATATGGAAAAAGGTCCCCACGCTCATGTAAGTAGGCTCCCACTGGTAGGTGGTGAGCCTGCAACCGTAATCTGCTCAAAGCAGGAGACCCAGAGAGTGCGGAAAAGCGAATTGCACAAGCGTGCGTCCCTTTGCGGAGGGGTCCACGTCATAAGGGTCAGAGGAGCTTGGTTTTGTGAATAAGGACACCCATATAATCAATATAACACCATAACATAAGAGAAGATGTGCTTCTGGCTGGCTGCACAGGACAAGTTGGCGAACATCTCTGCGGCCTAGACTCAATTACCGTCTACAGTTTGCCAGCAAGCCCTCCCCCGAGTAACAAACATGTTCATTCGTCTATCTGCGTATACCTCCTGCTCTCATGCACGAGGGGAGACAGGCCTAGTATTCTAATGCCCTGGGCCCTGGAATGGGGTGACCTGGCAGCATCACAGTTCTGAATGAATCCATTTTCTCTGTCTGGGTCGAAATGTCCTTACGTCAACCGAATGCCTGCTGCCGGCTCTTGACCTTGCAGCCGGGCAGCTTGCAGCAACAGCAACAACGGCGGAACAAACCTGGGCCAGGGCACATGGATGAAGCTGAGCTTGCCAAAGACCCATTGCACCATTGTGGGTCCTGCTCTCTTAAGGCAATCTCTGTGGTAATGGGATTTCTGCGCCTGAGGCGTTCGAAGCATGTGGCCTCGGACTGTGCGGGGGTCATGGGATATATACTGCGAAGGAGGGAATTTGCAAATCCTGCCAAAAAGTCCTTGATATTCTAAGATGCTTCAGCTGGCCTCCCTGAAGACTGACCCAAAGGCCGAACTTGCTACAGCAGCATTGGCTGACTTGCCTTTTGGCTGATTGCCTGGCCCATAGAGGGTGGACTTGGCCCTTAGCCAAGGCATGCAAAGCTAAAAGTTTGTGGGTTTGCATTATGCCGTCGCAAATGGTTTAGCTTCATGGAGGAGCACAGCTATCCTGTTTTCCATTCTACTTCCGCCCCACCCAATATTTAGCGACTCGCTCCTTTTTGCAGCATGGGAGCAGTTTCCCATCTTGTGGCAGAGGCCCCAGAACCACAGGCAAACCTTCGCTATCACAGAAATGGGCTTTTCTTTATGACGACTTACGCGTGCGGAGGAATGTACCGCCAGTGTCAAGAACTAGCTGTTTCCAAACCGTGGCAAACGAGCTGTATGGAGACTAGCTCCTAGATGTTCTTGATTAAGGGGAATGGTAGGCGTTACATCAGGACAACAGCTTACATATTGCATATCCTGGAGGTCCGGACTCAAAACAGCAGGTCCCAAACACGCAGGGCATACGTGCCGCGCCTCACGGAATCTTGCAGGGTTGCCACCCAGCAGAGCTGGGCATGTTGTTGCATTTTCACATTGTCCGAGTTGAAGCAAAGGCTAAAAAGCCATCCAAACAATGGCCCTTCTTCACCAACAACCCAGATTCCAGGATGCAAACGTTGAAGTGTTGCAATGGCTATAGTAGAGATCGGAAGAATCAGACTTCACTCTCCTCTGGCAGCACCTTTGTATCACTGACGGCCGCGTCTCGAAGCCAACAGACACCCATGCCTAAAGCCAGCACATCCAACCCCCTACATCTTTCCCATCTTGTTGTCAACACAGCCAGATATGGTAGTTTCCCAAAATACGCGGAACCCCAATATGGACCCCAAAACAATATAACCCTTGTTATAGGGACCCCCAAGAATGTATCCCTAATTTTTGAGAAGCCCCATGTAGTATTCTGGCCCCTACTTGTTCACCTTCACATCTCAAGCCCTTGCTTGGTTGTCATCGTCTTCGCGCAGGCCTGTGGGTCAGTTCAGTTTTTACCTGCAACACATCCTGGAGATGCCCAATGAAACCCCAAAACCCGTCCAAAGTCTGCCACGCCGCCGGCCTATATCCCTCCAGCTTGAACAGACCCTTACTTCTCGTCCGAGTGTCGGAGGCTAGGCAGCAGCCCCCGAGACCGCCACCAGCTGGCGTGAAATGATAGGGTTTCATAGGAATTACATGCTTGCTTTCTGGGGACGAATGCTGATAATTCATGTTGGTTTAGCAAACGAAGCCATGTGATGGCGAGCATTCTTTCTTGGGCTCACGAATTAAGAGGAGACCTGGCAGGGGGAGTAGGGTTACCTTGAGCACTACTGCGGCACTTTGCCATGCTTTGGGTCTACCGTGCTAGAGGAAGTAGTATAGGCCGTTGACGTAGCTGGAAGATGCCCTCCAGCATGCTTGAGCCTAAGCCACTTGATTGGTTTCCTACGCCAGCATGGCGTGTAAAATTGATTTTGGTTAGTGTTGTGCTCTTTCAATATTGCTGCGCCCCACGCCCCCGCGTGCTGGACGGCTGCCTGCAGCTCAGAATTGAAGGGTTTTTGCTCATCCCACCCCCGGGACAAATCACAGGTGCTGATTCCAGATATTTATCGCCCCTTTTGCTTGCAAAACTTCTTGAAGTTGAGCAAATCGATGTCCGAAGGTTCCAAATATGAAAACGCATGACCGAAGTTGGAATCTGCAGCCGCAAGCATCATACAGGGTGCCCTGGACCCTGGAGTACAATCTCCCAACTTTTTCTGACTTCCACTGTAATGTCGTCCATCAACCACCAAAACAAGTCATAAGGTGCATATGTGAACAAAAAAAACGTTTGGCTGGGGATTGAACAAGCCAGGTCAAGAACTCCGAGCTGCTTTTCCCACAGGTCAGGTGGAGTTCTCCTAGTAATCCCAGCAATTAGGGAAGAAGTCTGTGCAACCCTTATACCCCAATACATTTAACAAACAAAAAACACCACAACCCTTGAGAGCTGCCACGCCTTGGGCCAAGAAAGCAGGCTCTTCCCACCACTGCAGCTCGCGCTGGATCTCGTAGGGGTTCTCCTCAGTTGACGATGCAGCTCTTGAGAAAATGTGCCGGAGTCAACGGTGGAGTGTGGGAACATAATCTGGGGAGGCGCTGAGGGTCCAGGTAGGAGACAGAGAGTCCGTGAGCATGCAGCATGTCCGGTTTCAGCTTTAGGTTTAATACTGAGAGGATTCACAAAGTCTTTGTGGACTTGTGCAAGCTTCCGGAATCCCAGCTTTTGCATTGAACTCAGGATGTATACCCGAGTTTCTAAACATTAAACTACCAAACTACTAGCCCAGCTAGAAAGCCCAGGCTAGACTTTGCTAGTTTCCGAAAAGCATTGGCCCCAAAGGCATACTCCAAAGTATAAAATGCCTCGCACAAAACTAGGCAGAAGTCTCGCAACTCTCAGGTTACTGAGCGACTACAGCGCTTTAGAAGCCTCTAGAAAAACCATTATTTCTGCAGCTTGTAAGCATCCAAAGGAAAAGCAGTCTTCCTGCTCATGGGCCCTATTTGAATGCCACGACTCCTGTGGATCAGCACGCTCAGCTTACCTCGCTGCGGGCAAGCTTCGCATTGCACGTCTCCGAGATAGATGATGCCTGCCTCAGCGCAAAAGCCAAGTTAGGTTGCATCTGAAGCAGTTAAGAGGTTGCCGGGGACAAGGAACTTGATCTGGCTGCTGAAATTTTGACAATCTCCAAGCCCAAGTCATTGAACCCCAAAACGCTATAGCGCCAAGCTCGAAACCCTGCTGCCCTAAATCCAAGCTGCATCCGCAACTGCCAGCGTGCTTGACGCTTCCATGCTAGTTGTGGATTCCTCAGCTTCCAAAGACAAGATTGAGGACAGGATCTTGGGTCTGAAGATCCTGCCTCTTGAGCTAGCTGTACTTGTTAACACCCGGCAAAATGTTGCCTGCTTATAGAGGATCCTAAAGGCAAGCTCGAATCTGACTCTATCTTGGCATTGTACGCATCTAGCCCTTCGCAAAGGGTCCTGAAAAACTGGTCATCTAGTATGGAAGTGCAACCAACACTTGAGAAACCCGCATGAAGCCCTCAGCTAATAGGATCTGTCATGCTGTGTTACCTGTCATTGTAACGCAGCCCACCAATGCCAGGGACGAGGCGATGAATGAGAGCACAGGAGCTTTCGAGTTGTTACATGCTCAAGCTACCTTTCTTCCATCAAGGCCAGTCTGAGAACACTCCTTCTCTCACTTGACCCTAAACCCTAAAAATTACTTTCCTTATCTCACTGATTTTGCCTCAGTATCTATGACAGGCTCCTCCGTGAGTGCGGCCGCAAAGGTGGTTGTCACCGGCCTTGGTAGTGGTTTCGTAGGGATTATATCCGGCCGATACGAGGATTATATGAGGGTCCGTGTAGGGATTATATGGGTATCACACCAACAACGGAGAATCAAATGGAAAGACAGTTGAAGATGAAATGCAAACTGGGATGTGTATCATGGCTCGCGAGATTTTGTTTATGTCGCTCAGAGGGCGCTCTTTCAACAAGTTGCTATCAGTACCAGACATCCCTAGGGCTACCATTTCATCTCTTAAGGCTGTCCCGTACCAGTAACTCAGTAGTCCCTTGATTGCGCCCGTCTGACCAATGGATTCAACATATTTGGTGTTGCCATGGATTCGTCCGATGCCAAAGAGGTCTCGATGACAATGCAGGTATCTGCGAATGTTACATCGTGAGCAAGCCATTGTAAAGAAAACTAAAGCAAGTGATGGGTGATTTTACAAAATAGCTGTGTGCGGTTATACACAAACTAGCCTCATTCGAAGCCTAGTTGCACCTGGCTGCTTCTTAATGAAAATTGGCTCATCAAGCTGACTTGCATGTTCTGCAGCCCTGTGAACTGACGAGCAAAGTGGGGCTTCCCAACCCGCCTTCCAGCTTTACCAAATTACTATTACTACTACTACTACTACTACCACCACGACTCTTATCATTATTCAATTTTAGTCTTATACTATAAAAGCCCACTCTTCTCACGATTTTCCAAGCTTAGGCCGCTGCAGCGTTCGAAGCCACGGCTCCTCCGAAGTGGATGTCGACGCCAGGCGGTCCTCTTGCTATAAGGGTCCAAGTACCCAAGAATCGAATACGTGCCCAAAGCTGGAACTACAATTCCAGTAATTAACCAAATCCCAAGTACCCAATTGTTGGGTACATGGACCCTCAACCATATCCCTGGGTTCATGGACCCTAAATCCTGACCCTACCCCTTTAAGCGGACCTAATTATTGGGTACATGGACCCTTTGGGTTGGTGTACAGTTTCACTGTGCCCAAAAACAGGCGGGTACAGAGTTTAGGTGTGTTTTAGGATCCTCCTTGTACCCTCAAATAGAGGTGTAGGGCCCCAAATAGGGAGTATTTAGGATTTGGGGTTTAGGGCTTCCACAGCAGTCCCTGGCGCACAGACTTAACTTCAAATTCATGACCCAGGCATGGCTCGAATGAGTTTCTAATATGGGGAGTTTCTCAACAAGGAGGTGCTTCTTATATAGGATTTTTGGAGAAAATCATTCGGGTCCAATTTGGGGATTGCATAAGGACAAGTCTGAGAAGTATCCACATGAGTACAAAATGCCACCCGGAATCTGGCCTTCTTGAAACCTCATTTTGTGGTAGGAGCGGAGGTATAGTGATCTTTGAAAACAAAAAATTGAACAGCGAAAATCATCGCACACCAACATAATCATGTATTGGACACTTCCCATGTTGGGCTTCCATTTTGTGACTGCTTCCTCTAGCTGAGGGTTGCAGAAGAGCCCGGCGTCTAAATCATTAGCGTAGGAAGTAGATTTCTGAGGGCTCACTTTTTTCAACTTTGCCAAGGGCAAAACCAACTATCACTTCTTCTATATACCACCCTGTACGCCAACGGGATTGCTAGTAGGATCCCTCTGAGCCCTCTAGAGGAATCTTGGAGATCTTCAGGCTCCTTGCTACATGACATGTCTCGCTGTGGGGCAGTCCGGTGGCGCGCGGCAAAGGAGCTGAACTGCGGCAGAGGCCTTCCCCCAAGAGCCCAATATACCTTAATTCCCTCCCCCTGGAACATGTTTATTGCTTTTTCCATCTGGACTCCATGGACTGCCAGAACAACAGATGTTTATCTAAGAAATGTATTTTACATTACCCAAGAGAAAATACATACGAACCTCAGGGTAGGTCGAGGGTATAACTTGTACATCCAATTCTCCAGGCTACTTAAGCGGGATACGTGAAGGACCAGTGATGGAGCCCCCAGTTAAATCGAAAACAACGCGGTGCAGTTAAAATTCTCAATGTTTTCCTTCGCTGTGCAAACGTACGTACTTGATCAACTCACTAATTCCTGCAGGGCCCTGGTAGCGGTCTTTCCCACTTTTGACTGACGCCTGCAGACTCGGAAAACCTCAGTCCCAGACCTCAACTAGTTCCGCTTGAGGGCCCCCCCCCCTCTGGCTGATAGGTTTTAGGTTTAGAGTTTTAGAGCTTATAACGTTTCGTGAAATTCCTCGCCAGCAACCTGACTCATCAATCTGTTGAGTGATTCAGTTCCAACGTGCACGGACAGCATGACTTTGCCCTGCCACATATTACTCTTGCTACCTTGGGATATGTGGGCCCCCCAAATGGTAGGGGTCTGCCACGAGGATCAGGTAGGCATTATTCTGAGAGACTCCCGTTTCAGCCCATGCCTCTGTTGTTGCAGCTCTAGTCGTGGAGGCAGGTGACCTCCACGGCACTTGCCCAGAAGTTTCTCTTGACTACGTGGGTTCTCAACATAGTGGCCCCCGTGAGGATACAAAGTATAATACGGCACCTCATATACTGAGGTACCAGAATGAGAGCCTAACTTTGGACATGACGACGCAGGGAGAGATCAAAGCTTGTGTGTCTGGTTTTTTGGGGCTTGTGAGATTAGGGACTTTGGCTTTCAGGTTTTATGTTCACGGTAGTTCTCAAGTGCCCTGTGTGGGTTTATGTTTGCTTCGTCTATTGTCCCTGTCCGCATTACGCAGCGGTTGTGAGAAGAAATACCATCAAACCAGACAACACTAAACTTGCCTGGTAGTGGTGGTGGTGGTGGTGGTGGTGGTGGTGGTGGTGGTAGTAGTAGTAGTAGTAGTGGTGGTGGTAGTAGTAGTAGTAGTAGTAGTAGGAGGGGTGCAGGTTTGGTAGTGACAGCAGCTACCCATTGGTCCGGCGTTGCTGTGGGGAGGCTGCACTCCCAACTAAAGCAGAGGGAGCCGGATTCTCCCCTGGAACACCTGAGCCCCAACACCTGCCACCACTTATCCTCACCACATGTACCAGGAATCTACCACCCAGATTTCAAGTTAGTAACCCTAAACCCTAAGCCCTTGACACCCCAAAAGTCCAAGCATGAAAACCATAAGACAATCAAGGGACCTTTCCACCGAGGCATTGCCTTAGGTGCTTAAAGGCAGCAGCTTGATGCTGTGAAGTCACACCAAGCTAAAGTGCTAAGTAACCTTACCGATGGTTGGTGGGGAGTAAGGGAAAATCTTTCCTATGGAATCCCTATGTAGTATTTTCCCTTATTCCTTACTAACCCCCGGTCTGGTTACTTGGAATTCGAGCAGGAGGTTGGTGGGGTTGACTGAGGCTATCCTAGGAAAGGAATGTATCCCTCCTATGGTCTTCGCAGGATGCGTCTCCAGTGGGTCAGAGAATGTTTGCCAGGTTCTTGCAACCATTGTCCTGTTTTGTTGGGTTCGGCAAGTGATCGTCTTTTTCTCAGGCGGGCTCCCACATGTTGAAGCACCCACGCCCAATGTCGGGAACTACATGTAAAATGTAGGCACACGGCCCAGAACAAGCCCCATCCAGGTGCTCGCAAAAGATAGGTCCGTAGGTCCACAGCCACCCAGAATGACAAAGACGCAGAGCAGAACTATGGAAGTATCTTCCCTAGTGAAATACTCTGCTTCAACGGCGGTCTCAACTGGACCGGAGCATTAATCAGCAGGACTGCTTGAAAGGAGCTTGCTCCTTCCTTCCAGCCACCAGCAAGACTGAAAACCCTGAAGCCCTGCATTGCATCATTTGGTGGGGCGCCTTGCTATGGTTTGGGGAGGGAAAGGCAGTGCTCCTTGACTCTCAGTCAGAGAGAGATAAAGAGCGATGGAGGGAGGGAGAGAGGGGAGGGAGGGAAAGGGAAGGGAAAGGGAAAGGGCGAGAGAGCGGCTGAGGACACTGAGAGGGAGAGAGAGGGAAATCACAAGCTTGGAAAAGGTTCTGATGCGTGGCAACAATTCCCACACCAATAAACGGATGTGGTAAAAGATGCATACCACGGGAAGAGCCAGAGGAGTGTTTCTCCGCCTCAGGGACACACATAAGGCTGCTAGACTCAAGCTGCTAATCACACATGTCACGAAACAGCAAACGCTTCACTTGACAACGGCCATGCCGCATGCCCGCCCTTGCTTCCAACATCAGTTTGCTAAACCAGGATGGCTGCGCATTGCAGTGAAGAGTATTTGCCATGTGAGCACCGGCCTGTATGCACCCCACTTTAATTTTAGACAAGCAGAGGAATGTCTGAAAACCAAAGTTTAAAATCTGCTTGCAACCCGGTACCCTCAAAACACCAGAGACTTCAAGTATGGTGCGAAGATCGCCCGCACTTCGCTGAGTTCAAATTGGTTCCTGGTGCAACATGAGCCTTGTGAAGGCCATTTTTCCGAAACATTGACAACAGAACACCTATCAGGCAGGCGCAAATGCCACTGTCAATCTGTACATCGCAAACAGGTTCACCTTTTCAGTTCTTTTTAGCACCACGTTTGCAGCAGCAACCGCGCTATCTCCGTGCGGCAGTTGTGGGCTCCTCCCTTGGGACTGTCACGCCATCCTGATGCTGCAAGTCCTTTTCAGCATCAGCTTTGCAACAGCAACTGCGCGATCTCTGCGCGGTCGCTGTGAGCTGCATCAATAAGAGCTGTCCTACTGTTCCGATCCTGCACGTCCTTTTCCGCACCAGCTTGCAGCAGCAAGTTCACGATCTCCGCCAACATGAGAGCGGTCATGCCACACTGATCCTTCAAGTCCTTTGCAGCACCGGCTTGCAGCAGCATTTGTGCTATCTCCGTGTGGCCGCTGCAAGCTGCCTCCATGAGAGCTGTCCTGCCATACCAGGAATCCTGCAAGTCCTTTTCCGCACCAGCTTGCAGCAGCAACTGCACGATCTCAGCGCGGCCATTGTGAACTGCCTCCATGAGAGGTGTCCTGCCATACCAGTGCTGCAAGTCCTTTTCCGCACCAGCTTGCAGCAGCAACTGCGCAATCTCCGCGTCGCCGATGCAAGCTGCCTCCATAAGAGCTGTCCTTCCATCCCGATCCTGCAAGTCCTTTTCCGCACCAGCTTGCAGCAGCAACTGCACGATCTCAGCGCGGCCATTGTGAACAGCCTTCATGAGAGCTGTCCTGCCATCGCGATCCTGCAAGTCCTTTTCCGCACCAGCTTGCAGCAGCAACCGCGCTATCTGCGTGCGGCCGTTGTCAACAGCCACCATGAGAGCTGTCCTGCCATTCTGATCCCGCAAGTCCTTTTCCGCACCAGCTTGCAGCAGCAACCGCGCTATCTCCGTGCGGCCGTTGTCAACAGCCTCTATGAGAGCTGTCCTGCCGTTCTGATCCCGCAAGTCCTTTTCCGCACCAGCTTGCAGCAGCAACTGGCCGATCTCCGTGCGGCCGTTGTCAACAGCTTTCATGAGAGCTGTCCTGCCGTTCTGATCCTGCAAGTCCTTGTCAGCACCAGCTTGCAGAAGTAAGAGTGCGGTCTCTACTTCGCCGTCCTGACAAGCAACACGAAACAGCTCGTTAGTCTCCATCAGCTCCGCGGCTGTGGACGCCGTGGCCAGGACAAGCTGTAGGTGGATTGAAGCATCTACGGGGTTCGATTGCAAAGACTCATCCAAGCTATTGCCACCTTGTAGAAAATCTAGCTTGGTTGCATCATCCAAGCTGTTGCCCTTGTGCAGCAGCTGTTGCAAGCAAACGGGAAAACTATGCCGATTGCACAGCTCGCGCTTCAAGTCACGTATGTCACGGATGTTCTCAGTGCTAACAACAGGCAGCTCCTGCCCTGAAATCTTACAGATGCGGCGCATGCGGACGAAAGGCAGAACATCCACAGTCTCTGTAGTTTTTCCAGAACCAAAGACAATACTGCTCTTGAGAGTTTGGTTGTGTTAGAACCAGGAAGACAAAATTGGATTTGCATCTCCTTACCAGGTACTAGAACCAAAAAACGAATCGATTGTTACTCCATATTGAATGCTCTAGCATCCCTATCTAAACTACTACTACTACTACGACGACGACGACGACTACTACTACTACTGCTGATGCTGGGCATCCACTTTGAGCTTTGTGGCCAGCAAGACACAAGACCGAACAGGTTCTGATAATGGCTTTGTCTGGGGTTTTATCATTGTGGCAATAAAGCCAATGATTTCAGCTCATGAAGAAACATGTGGGAAAGGAAAATGCAACGACAAATGGGGCTTCCTAGGTAGGAAGATGAAATATCATTATAAACCCTAAACCCTAATTCTTTTGCATTATCCCAATATAACCCCTATATATACTCTATAATATTGTAGTAGCTTCTACTTAAGAGGGAGTATAATGGAGACTGAAGGTGAAGTTCAAGCTTCAGCGACTGTTTCGGGTGGCCCACTCTCCAACAAATCCTAGTTTTTGTTGACCAGCCAGTGCCAAAGAACGCCAAGCCCACGAGTCAGATTCCATAAGGCTGAAGCATTCGCATTGCACCCAGTGTCTGCCTAATTAGGTCACATGAGCCATAATCTAAACTCCTCAAAGGGGGTCATTTAAGAGATTATGTAGGGGACGACTATAGGACTATAGGGCTTACTAAGGGGGAGACCAGGAGTTTAGATTGTATGGTAAGTCTCTGGAAGCCAATACAGCTCATCTAAAAATAACGAAAAGGTATGCCCAGAACAGGCAGTTCCCTGCCCAACACATTCAAAAAACCTCCCTTAGGTGGACCCCCCCAGCCAGAAATAGTGACTACAAGGGATAAGGGATATGATATTAGGATCCTCTGATATTCCTATTATACTCTATTACAGCATGGAGGATCCCCTCATAAAATCCTAATTTCAGATGAGCAGCCTCCACTCTGGCCTTGATTCAAGAAGACGTGCGCGGTGTCACAAAGCCTGCATCGGGTAGGTGGAGGATTAGGAGCTTTTTGAGTTTAGGGTTCTGGGTTGGCCCCTAAAACCGTTTGAAATATATTAGTATATAGGGTCCCTTATTACAGCAATTAGGGACAATAATAAATATCCCAGGGGCCTACCCAGGGTTCAGAGGTTCTTTGAGGGTTCGGAGCTTTTGGGGTATCCTGGGACTGCAACCCCCGCCCTGTCTGAAAAAGACAAGATGGGTACTGCTTAAATGCAAATTGCGGTTAAGTCTCCGCTGGATAGTAAACTGCTATTTCTTGGACTGCAAGCCGTGAGGCAGTGGCCAGGAACTTGATCGTCCGAATTATCAGGTGCCCGCTTTTGAATGAGAAGTATACTATACTATAGTCATTCCCATTTTCTTTTCCATTATCCCCATATAATCCCACATTACCCCTATGTTCTTTGCTAGTTTCGATGTTCTTTTCCATTATGTTGCTTCCAACAGCCCTGAAGGATATAGCAGCTTTGGCTCCAAACCCCCAGCTTGAAACCCCCCAAAGGTTAGACAAACTACGACTTGTCGCCCAAGCGACGGGCAGTAGAAGCAGCCCAGTGGCCAATAGTTGTCCTGAGAGGGATAAGGGTTATGGGGTGGTTTAAGGCTTAGTCTTGTGCAGTGTTAGGCGGCTCGCGGACAGACGTAACATCTCTGTTGAGCACAGGCCTAGTGTTGTTACAAGGAACCTTCATTATCTGTACACAGGTGCGCGCTGGCAGCACTAGACTGAGTATGAAACCGGCCCAAATCCTACGTCTAAGGGCTAGGCTCTTAAGGACACTTAAGCCCCCAAACTCTCATACAGGATAGGAACTTCAAACTTCATTTTTGAAAACAACACCCGAAACTCTCTCAAGTCCCCGGACCGATGGGGCCTAAATTCTAACAAAGCTTCTAGCCCAGAGGAGGTAATACTTACATGCCATATCCGCAACAGCTTTGTAGTCACTATGCAAGTGAGCAGTCTTTTAAGGTGCGCCGCAGCAATTGAAACTGGCAAAAGACTGCTCAAGGGAACGATCTTATTACAAGCTTCTTCGTACATCAGACTGCTACTGAAGCCAAGTCTCCATGCTGCCCAAGGCCTGCGGCAAGGCGACCACGGCTATGGTACCATCGAACACGAGGCTCAGATCCCTGGCGGCCCTCTCCTCACTGTACAAGTCAGGGGTTCAAAAGCGTGTGTACTATGGTCTAAATTCCTTAAATGAGATGAAAAAGGGGAGTACTATAAGGGTTATTAAGGAGGATACTAGGAGTTTAGACTACAGCCTTTGGCTCATGTGGTCTATGTCTCATGCTTGATGCAGTATGGTGAAATAACGTGCCCGGAATCTTGGGAAAATCGTAGCTTTTCTTGCAATCATGTCGGGAACAATGTTCAACAAAAGGCCTGCCAATCTGGTTGCCATCATCTGCTTGCTAGCCCAAGAGGACGGATCGTTTCTGGTGGTCTATTAGAATGGTACATCAGCAGATTGAAGTGCAGACAAGGCGTCGCAAAGCGTGGGGTCTGAAATTGGCGCATAACCTTCCCGGCAGCGTCCGCGGTTCAGACGGAATTCCGCTGCTAGCAGCGACGTGTTCGTCGCTGCCTGTCAGGGAGGGCCCTATACCACTATGGGCCATTAGACCCTAAGGGTACCTTAATCTACCCTTAATAGGGTCCTAATGGGGGATTTTAAGTTCTAATAGCCCATGGTGGTATCACAAGTCTTGCATCTAAGGCCTTTTGCTGACGGGCGAATTGGCGTAACGCAACTTGTCCTAGGCCCAAGTTCTGGCGCCCATGCCTCATGCATAGTGATCCCGTGAACCCAGCACGGCCAACCTGCAAACCTTGCGGTGATATGTCTCCTCATGGGGTTGCCACTGCTTGATTACCACCTGCCTTGCTTGTCCCACCCCCGAAAGCGCATGTGTAACAGGACCAGAACTTTGGTTACATCATACAGAAGGGATACATCCACAAATCAAAGGCATATGTGTACATATGTATATATATCTATGGACTTATACATGAAGTCATATATATATATACACATGTACAGACACAAATGGACGGATGGATGGATGGATGGATGGATGGATGGATGGATGGATGGATGGATGGATGGATGGATGGATGGACAGATAGGTATATGAGATATACTCTAATACTCTAGGGTATCCCTATGTACCTCTCTATGTCTCCTTTCCGGTGCACCATCCCCATCTCGACCTGGCTGGTGCTCTGCCCAGTGAGATCCGTACAAAGTGCCGCTGCCAAGGGAGCCTGGCCTCGCGAAAGAAAGCGGTTTAGGGTTTACGGTTTAGGGTTTGGGAGAGCCCAAAACGGTCCGGGAAGTCAAGCAAGGGACTTTAGGGCTTGGGGCGTAGAGAGCTCAGGATTCTTGAGGGCTGAGAATGAAGGGCTTCAACATTTTCTGGCGTAAGGCAAATATGGGTTTCTGGCTTGGGGGGAGAGGCCCTTTGAGAATAGGTCCCGTGCCAGGCAACTGTAAGAATAGATAATACAAATAACAATAGCAATAAAAAGAAGAATAACAGTAGTAATGGCAATGAAAATGCTTATATTCATATATGATAATAACAAGAAGAGTGTGAATTCATGTGAAAGGAGATGATAGGGCTTACAGGGCCGAAGGCTTTACATGGGGGGGGCTGAAAGGATAAGCCAAGGAGAATAAGCCTTGCGGAAGGCGGATCAGCTTAGAAAACTTGGCTACATGGGAGGTTGCCCATAGTCTGAGTCCCCAGGACAAGGGATCTTTACGTGATACCAGGATGCAACGTACTAAGCCAGCCTTTGTAAGGATGTTGTTTTCCATTCCATTCTCCCATGAGACACCTGCATGTGTGGGTGTGGAGTGTCTGCTTCTTTCGCCCAAAGCTGAGTACAAGGAAGCATCATGTTTACACCCAACAAAAGGTTGCACTTATATGGCACACCAAAATACTCTGACCCTGACTTCTAGCGCCCCCGCCAAAAACAAAGGGACCCCATTTTTTGAAGCACTACAATTCAACCAGACGGGCTGCGGATGGACTCAGTAGCTGTCTCATGCTGCGAGGCGTTGTTGAAGTAGAGGTCCTCGGCCACACTGTTCAAAGATGGTAGGGTGATGAACTGCTCAGGATCCAGGCCTGAAAATGATATCCTTCCAGTTCCTATACATACTTGGGTGCTTCCGGCTAATACGTGGTCAGCAATGCATGATTGGATTCGGGTATGTTTTGGGGGTATGCCTCGGGGTATGGTTCAAGGTATGTTTCGGCTATGTTTCGTACATGGCTCTTGACGAAAGGATACGAAAAGGATGTTGTACGTTGGGGACGATGTTTCGGCGTATGTATCGAGTTATGTATCGGAGTATGTACCAGGAGGGTCAAACATGCGTCCTTACATGAATGCCAAACACGCCATTTTTGGAAACAGCCAGATACATATCTACTCCTGGGGGTTCTCGAGGCCTTGCCTTCTGAGAAACCCGTTTGGCAGCGCAGGACAGATTTTGCGCAGACGCCCAGGACATCACACACACGAGGTTTATATTATATCAAAGCAGACATCGAAGACGCGCCATTCAACCCTGTATTCGTGAGCCGTGGAGTCTTACTAGTCAGTAAACATAACTTTGCAGAAGCAAATGTGCATGTATTCATGAGCCGGAACCACATTTAGCTATCAGAAGGAACCTCATGTCCAATCTTACCATCCCCCGTACAACCCTAAAGTGCGCATGTTACCTGTATGGGAGCTTGTGGGCAAGTAGCTGATTCCTTATTGGGTGGTATTATTGCAGATGATAATTGTATTTTTTATCAAGTGAAAATTGCATTGAGAGTGAAATAGTATTTGTGGCGCTGACCCAGTGGGCTGCTCCCGACGCACCAGTTTCTGTGCCAAGCCCGAATCCAAGCCGCCTCAACCCTGTGCCAAAATCCGTGCCTTCAATAAATAACGCAGAACCTTGCTTCAGAGACACCGCAGCAACACTACCCTTAGCAGCAAACAGCTCTTCTGTTGCAATGCTGAGGTGCTAATTGCCAGAACCGCAATCCCTTCATCAAGAGCAACTGCTCGCAAGCCTTGACTACAAACCGTTCCTGAACTGGAAGGTTCCCAAACCTCAATACTTTTAACATGAAAGCTCTACCCAGAACACAAGGCTTCAAGCATGCATCGCCCCTAAACCTAGAGACTCTTCACCCTCAACCTCTAATAGCTTGAAGCCTGGATTTCCAAGCCAAGCAGCGCCATGGTCACACTCCTGGCAAAAGAAACACTTCTCTGGCCAGCCTGGGAAGTAGCCGGAGAGTACCTCTTGCCATGCGTTCTGGAGTGGGGTCGAGATCAGAAAGTTAGCTACGAAGAGCTTGGTAGGGGGCTTCAGGCAGATTCAAAGCTGGCTTTGTACAATGTTGGAATTTAAAGTTGGAGTGTGGATTCGGGTCTCAGGGCTAGTACAAGGTGAACTTGGTGCTTTGTATGACGACATATCTTGGACTCATTTTGACATTGGCCCCTAGATGATACCACCAGGTCCTACTCCTATCCTGGACAACATGGGCTATGGTCTAAATTCCTGGTATCCCCCTTAGCAATTAAGCCCAAGACTAGGAACCCTATATAGTCCTCATTATACAACCCCCTCCAAGGAGTTTAGACCACAGCTCACATGGGCAACCTGCCTGCGTAGTGGCCACGCCAAGGTAGAATCCCGCAGCCGAGCAATCCTGGGCTTCACAAAGCCCAGATTTCCCGACTTCGAAACTTTGGAGAAACACCCTCCAAAGGCCATGTTCACGTGGGGGTTTCCATGAATTAAGCGCCCCTTATTGTATTTTGTGGTCAATATTGGCCTCCCCCTTATCCTGGAACCCCTCCTATGTGCTTTGCTTCGAATGGATAGCGAGAGCCCCGGACTCGAACCAACCTCTCCGCTGTACGGTGACAAGGCAGGCCATTTAAGGTCTTAAGCTCCAATTGTTCCAACACCATCCCTCTCCATACAAGGGCTGTGAAGGAACCGTAAGGGCAGGTACTGGCCATGGGGGGTGATAGCAGCCATGGCACCCTTGAAGAAAGCATACTCTGACGGCCACAAAGATGAGCTTTTAGGATATCAACCTCCCTTCCGTACAACTAGAATGTTGCTGTTGTGAACGTTGCATGGCAAAAGCCTTCCAACACTACCTACCGCATGCCGCATCCCCTTCACGACGCTATGCAGGTGCTTCTTCCGGTTCCAGTATCGACGCTGGCATAGAGTAAGTACTTGATCCCTGCAATCCTTCTCAGAATTTTCACTTGCACCTGACTTTCTTGCAAAGTCCCCAACTCAGATATCACATTTACGCTCAAGAAGCGTGTTAACATCCTCTTGAGCAGGGTCGCTTCTGCGGAAGCCAGCACAGAGAGGCCGTCGCGGCAAACCTTTCACAGACTTGCATGTAAACGTCCCCATGCCATCCAAAGAAGGACATTACCCAAAGCCCCGCTGCATGTGTTGTTACACGGAAGCTCTAAAGTTCATGCTATATTGCAGTTGTGTACTTTAGACTCACTGTTACAAAAAGGGTCGGGGCAGGGCAGCTGGAGAAAGACTAGCTGCTAGCTTCGAGCGCGATGGTAAGTGGAGGTGTAGGTTGGAGAATGGAGAATCAAATGGGAAAGAACACGGATAATGACATGGAAGATGGCGTATGTTATACAGCGGGCGTTAGTGGGATAATTTCTCATCTCATGCTCTTGGATTGCCCCCTTGTGCTTCATGTTGTCTTCCTGCAAATCCAGTTGCCGGAGGCGTGGCCATCATTTGGAAGCGCAGGGGGTAGTGACAGACCTGCGGACAAGGACTTTCATCAGAGGCGCCCCTGTGGCCTTTGTGCTATGATATTGGCGCATACTCAAACTGACTGGGATAATGATGAGGACCCCGAATACATCTCTGTCAGTAATGTAGCTGGACTGCCAGGGGCCCTTATGCAAAATTTGCGGGACATACTTTGATTCTCGTAGCCGTAAGCTTAAACTTTTGAGCCAAACTGAAGTTCATGTGAGTAGCGATCTTGGGATCTACAGCATCCCTATCAATGGTCAATGACACGCTGCTTTGCTCCTCATGAAAATTTCTCATAACCTGAA